AAACCAGCTTGTCAACTTACTTCCATCCACGTTGATAAAACGAATGTGTAAATACCACAGTATAAGTTGAACTGTACAGAGCCTAGTACATTTACCTGATCCATGTTGGTGGCAACTTTCCGTACATGAAGGTTCTACTTCAAATAGTTTGTGACAAAGATGTGAGTACATTGTTATCACTAAAATAGTAAGAAGAATAATTTGCTTTATAAAAGTTGAGGATGCGTATATATCAAAATTCCAAGCAATTATTTGCATTATTTCTTGGAAAAAATGAATAAGGAAGTCAATATGTCTTAAAGGCATACTATATGTTTTGAGTTTATGGCATTTTTGATTAGTCGTAGTTACAATTAATAGATTTTAACATATCCTCTCCGTCAAGTGATTCATATCTTTGCGAATCATTGGATCCTCATGTAGTACATCTTTAATAAATATCCTGAGTTATAGAAACTCTGCGTCTTATCATTACACTGTTAATAAAAATTTAATTTACGGTAATTTCAATTGCTTTAAGTTCCAAAGGTAATATACTTGAAAAGTATACATAAAAAATTGTTTTCAAATTTCTTCTGAATTTGAAGTCATGTATTCAGCTCAAAAGAAGCGATGGAGGTCAGTCAAGTTAGCAATTCAGAAAAAAACCTCGTTGCTGCAACGTATGCAGTGGCTTACTAGGATGGAACAGACTGAAAATCTCCAACGCTAAAATAGTTAGGCAGAGAGGTTGATTAATAAATATTTTTCTTGAGTCAGTGCCTAATAAATGCGGAGAAGTGACGGAAAATCTGTTCATAATAAATGAAGAATGCTATTATTATTGAAATATATATATGAAAAAACTAAAGACGTAATGTATAGAAAATTGTGTGGTAAACTTGGTATTATTATGAGCAATTAGTTTTGCTCCAAATTTTATCCAGTAAACGATAACTGAGTAAATGTGTGATGTGTCGAACAAATTTATGTAATATCTAGTAACATTCTAGTATAGTGTTCAAATACCATACTTATGCTCCAAAAAGTAGTATAAAAGAATTAGCTTAACTTTATTAGCTGTCCATCATATTGAGTATATCAAATGTACAGTCAGCACCTTTTGCAGTACATTTACAATAAACAAAACCTGAAAAATAAAATCACAGTGACACCGTTTTTATTTGGGATAAAATAGATGACAAAAAATAAATTACAGTTCTTTTATATAAGATAACTTCCACTTTTAAGATAATACGTCGATCTTCGTGTTCTTATCGGTGATTTATATGTAAAAGAAGAAAAGTACAAATTTTATCTTCGATAATCCACAACTCAGTTAAAATAAATACAACAATATAATCGCAGATGATTGCACCCTTACAGAAATGGAGTAGAAAACAGTATTGTTAGCCCATTTCATTTATTTACATAAATCCAAGCATTAACATAGAAGTCCGTTTCTGTATATTAGTGGAATTTAAGTGGCGGTAATCGCTAGCAGAGAAAAGCCTGAATCAACCTTTGCCTTGCTTGTAACTAGCCAGCCGTATATCAGTGTTCTCACTGAAACTATAACCTGTGTGAGCTTGTTTGCCAACAGAAACTCATGCATTTACTGGTTTGACACTTGAAAGCAACCATTTCTATGTGGTTTAGTTCCAAGCGTTGGCCAAATCCGATCGATCATTTTGTAATGTGGTCACCAAGCCAGGGTACTTAGTATGATTTCTCACTCTTGTGGGTGCTGCATGGTGGGAAGAAACCGGTTGAAAGTCTTTCACCTGGATTTTTTTTACCTTTGTTGTCCCTCCACACCGGGGTATACTCACAACCTTAAGGGAAATAATGCCCCTTCGAAAATGTGACTCTACTTCCCCCCCCCCCCTAATACTGCAGCTTGAATAACTTTAAGGCAACTTTTCTAATAAATTTAAGCTTTACATTTCCTGCTTGTTATGTTTTGCTGCTTAAGAAAACTAATCTTCATCAAACCAGAAAACCCCTTTCGAATTCAATTCTAAAGTGCTTTCAAAAATGCCCTCTGGGTGGAAACTGTGGCACATCGGTTTAGGCAGTTGAGCTTCAGTTTCTAGATTGCAAGCTATAACCACAATTCACCGACTGAGATCTGGACAGCCAGATGGTTTCGATAGCTCCTACATAATGGGTATGTCTCATTGTCTAGTACGGGTACTAGCATTTCCTTGCTGACATTGATTTTTGAGTTATTGAATGAACTGAGCTCCCAGTATTGAGTGCTTTTGCAAACTTCATCAAAAGCTAGTGTCGAAAAAGTCCTAACTACATCAAATATAGTAACACAGAAGCTTGCATGAGAATTTTTATATAACTTGTAAATTAGGAGTAGCTGTGAACTAAAGTGTGTTGATTTTTAGTTAACTGCACTCTCGAATAAATGGTAGAACATGATACTGTGACTCAAGACTTCATCAAATGGAGACTAACCTAGAACTGAGGTCAAATGATACGCTCGGAAATTAGAATAATCTCATGACTCCAGAACATTTATGAAATAAAACAGTCACTTAAATACAAAGATATGATAACGGTACCTTGATTATAAAACGGCCTTCAAATAACAAGTAGTTATTCAAAGATATTATAAGGGCTTATAGTCAGTCAGTAAGTTTCTCTTCTAACCAAATTGGCTTGATCAGCCTGGTAGTATCACAAGCCTTCACACATCAGCATAGTTCCTACTCTGATGGCCTAACGTGTAGCGGGAAGATGAGGTTTAGTTTTTAAGTGATTTTACAATTATCCCTTCTGTGGCTCTAATTATGCTCTCATACTACCGTTTATTCATACCCTGCTTCGAGAAAACCCTATCTACTATCTAACTGTAGTGAAGATATTTTCACACAAAGTGAAATGATAAGTGCGAATGTCTCGCATTCACCAAAATACCAGTGGATAAGGATGATTTGCCTGGAGAGGATAAAAAATCCTGATCCAAGTCCAATATTTTAAATGTTTCAGAATCCGGAAGAAACGAATGGTATTGAAACCTACCAACAACAATGAGAATGTTGCGCCTGAGATTTCTCCACTATCTAACAGATGTGGCTTCCAGCCAAAGGTTTTGGAAGTGGTTCTCTGAATCAACCATCTGCTTCGATCTAGTAACTGAAAGGTTTTTAGGCTTAAATGCAATCTATGATGATACTGTTGAACATTTCTTAGTGCCCACATTTCAATACTTTTGTGCTTGAATTGAATAATACTAGTAAAATAATAAGCCATAGTTGTACTTTCATTTATTTTAACACTTGTAAAATAAATTTATGTCAGTTTTATTTAACCTGAAAGTTCATAAAACCTCGATTAGAATACATTAGGCTCAATAAATGAACACCCTTTTGGGGAATATTTCCAAGTTAAAAAGGGAATGATCAACTGCTGCATAGACAATCACTGTCATAAAATTTTAAAATGTTAAAAGGTATCAACGGAAGTTAAATTATGTTGTCAGTATGAATATATTTTGCAGTCGTTCGCTGTGTATCATTATCCGGCTGTAAAAGATGGTCGTTAAGTTCGAAGGACATAAGAGGGCTCCAGTAGTTTGATCATCGTAGTTTGCATTCTGTGGAGTCAGTGCACATGGAACACAAGAGTCAAATTTAGACTCTTAATTAGAAAAGGTAAGTCACTAGATGAGGTTATGAACTACAAAATCAAGTATCTGAGAGATGCATAATTGCCATCTATAGTAATCAATTACTTTAGTTAAAGTAGAATACGGTTTAAGCGTGGCTTCAGTCCACAAAGTCCATAAATGCTACTCTCAGCTGTGTAGAGTGATGCATGTTTTCAAGTTGGAATGCGAACGACAATAAAAGATGGCTGGAAACTGTAGGCGATTTTTGTTCATAATCGACTGCAATGACACAGACACACTCGTATTTCATTGTCACCCTGGACAGCATATCACATTTCGCTTTACCTCCTCTTCTTTCCTTCTAATAGCTTTCTACAACTTCTGACTACATTATTTTCCTTTCGTTGTCTTTCACCCTGTTGTCTTTGTATACATATGCATCTGTTATCCACTGATAATGTTTGTGCATAAAATCTGCACCTACAGGCCCAGTCAAAAACACTAGTTTCTCTGTGATTTCAGTTATACTTTGTAGACGAATGACAAAAAACATGAAAACCAACTTTGAGACTTCCTACCGAACAACTCCTGCCGCCTTACACAAATAATTACACTTTATAACTTTGGAAAATAGATAAGAACGGAATCAGTGTTGATCAATGATTAAATAAACGGTGTAATTAACTGTCAAAAGAGCTTAGACGAAACAAATTAAAAGCAGATTTGAATCGTTTTTACATTAGTTCTAAAACATCACAGTTCAGGCAGAAACCTTTTTTGGTTTGGTTTCTTCACAGGTAAACAGATCATTTTTGATCTCCAAATTATTTTTTTAAGGAGACAAAGATTGGTTGCAAGACAAGTTTGATGTGAAAATTGTTTAAATGTTTTACATACGTACACTGACCGAATAGGTCGTTCTATTGACTATCCTCATACTACAGACATTTGTCAGAACATGTAATCAGATATTTTGCAGAAAATACATTTTAGCCCCCAGGGTAAACTTATTTCAGATATACATTCTGTGTAAAAGATTTATAACTTTTTGATAAAAAGTTATGCTAAAATAAGACTGAAGTGAAGTAAAACTCTGATTGCCAGTTGGGTCTCGTGGCTCAGTTGGTACAGAAATGGACTGGAAACTATGCGGTCCTAGGTTAGAATCCTATCACGGCTCAAATTTTCATTTCAACTTCAACCACCACCCAGTATCAATGCTAGAATCTGTCGAGTGTGGTAGTATGAAGTTCCACTGTAATTTGTTTATCCGACGGATAACACTATAAAACAGTATTATTAATTGGATAACGTTTCGGGCAAAATTTATTGCCAAAATGAAGCTAGCGCTGTTTAGTTTCCTACTGACTCCATTTAATTTTCTGTTTACTTTTAGAGTTGCATCTTCGTCAAACCTCTTACTGATCAAAAGAGGAACAATAAATCTCACCTAAGGATCACATCATGAATTAAGAAAATAAAGATTTCAACCATGTTAACAACGGCCTTAAATTTTCTCTCAGATAAACGAAAACGCTTTCATCGTTCAGACACAATGCCAATATTTACAAATGATTCAAATCTGTTCAAATTAAATTCAGACAATCAATTAGTTGAAAATCAGAAACAGTGTAATAAAAATAAAGACTATGATGATGAAGACATAGTTTCTGTTAATGTTTGTAAGAAAAGTGATGTTAATTGCCAGGATGAAACTTTGTTAAGTAAAAGTGTTTGTTATCAAGGTGGATTATCATCATCATCTAAGAGTTGTGCACTGAGACAACTCTCAAGTAATGATGATAATGATGACGATGATTATGACACTGAATTTGTGAAACTTCCATCATTTTCATCAACTGAAAAGAACTGCCCAGAGGGAATGAAGATGCATAGCAACGAAAAACACCTTTCAGTCGGTAACTTAAACAAATATCAATTCCTAAATCTAGAAACAAACTTATATCGTCATCAGAAAAATCTATCAAACAGTCCACCTCATGGGAATACTTCACAGGGTTGTTTATCCCATGGATATAGCTTGAGCAGCATGCAAGTTCCACTGAACCCTACTGGCTCAGAAAACAACGTCTTCACGTCATTCACTGTTTGGAAGAAAGATTCTAGCGATTTACGCCATATTCCTAAGGACGGTAAGACAAATTCCTCAGCAGCATGCAAAGTGGTTGACGGTAGCAAATCTGTCCGTCTCCCATCTAAATTAAGTGAATCTCATGCGCTAGTTTCAGATGACTTAAACAGTGAACTAACTTTGGATCACAGTACAAAAGCAACCTCATCAGGAAAGTCCAAAGTAGTCAGAATGCGTGCAAGGGCAGTTGCAAGAGCAGCGAAGGGTAAACTAAAACGTTCTAAGAGTAGTGCTTACATGTCAAGGCAATTTCGTGATCTACCATCAGAGGACAATAATGTAAGAGGGCGTTCCTCTAGTGCTCATCGTGATCCGGATATCAGCGTTCAAGAAAATAAACCAGTACAAACTTCCTCGGAAAACAAGCCACGTCCTGGTTTAGTCAGAAGCTGGATTGATAAAAATCCTCGTCTACGATTAGATACATCACCTCAACGTTCATCAAATGCTAGTAATATAGGTGAAGTAGCAAACGCCGATGAAGTTATTGAACAACTTGTAAATAAAGCGAATGCTTACAAATTCCAAGTAATTAATGCCCTAGAACATTTCAAACCACTTACAGAAGTATCTGTGAGTGGAAATGCAATCAACAGCGATCTAGTTACTGCTATGCAAAATAACAATTACTCCCCTAAAATTTTGTCTAGCAGAAGTTTGATGACTTCAGCAAATAATAGTGCAAAGCCTAACCGTTATTCTGTTGTCAAAAAGCTAAGACGAAACAATTCAAGTATAGCATGTTCAAATGATCAGCTACCAACTTCACATGAGGAGCAAAGTATGATTTCTACAAGTTCTACAGCTGGAGACCTGTTACTGCCGTCGAAAAACTACAAAACAAGCGACATTGCTTCGGAAGATGAAGACGACTTTATAAAGAATATTACCGGAAATCTATTTACTGTTGTAAGAAATGATGACTGTGAGCAATTTTTAAAGCTATTTGATCATTACCAAAGGTTGAAGGACAAAAGTTTCGGACAAATTCAAAAATCTACAAATGAATTTGGATTAAGTGCATTAGACAGTGCTCATCTAACCGCATCCTTACCACTCATCTCCTGCCTAATGGTCTGTGGTTTTTCACCAGGCCCTGTAATCCAGTCACTTTTAAACTCAGGTCCTAAATCCTATTCACATAAACTAGACAGAATGGGTCAATATTTACAGAGTTTACTAGAGGAGAAAGAAATTCAACTAACTAAGTGTAAAGTAGAAACAAAAAATGCGATTGCTCGAGCCAATCATCTAACGATAACTGAAAGTTCTAAAGATTCTTGTAGTTTAATACAACCAAGTCAACAACAAGAACAAATTATTAATACAACGGCATTTGCTGAAGTGGCTATGAAAGAAAAAGAGTTACAAACTGTATTGGATGAGTATGAATACCTCTCTAAATTGATTGAAAACTATAGTAGATTTCCAAAAAGCACCAAGCCACCAAATAAAGTGAACATATATTTAAATTCTTCGAACTCCATATTAATTCGAATAAGTCCACCAAAAAATGGCAGATTCATCAAAGCTAACTTCCATCAGAACTCGGCTGACACTTCTGACGTTGATACTTGTTACAAAAATAACAGAGTTGAATGTGACCTTGATCAGGATCAAAGTTCATGTGAGTCAACTGATAATGATCTAATTCATGATCCAATAAATGAAGGCAGAAAAATTAATGGTGTCCATCAAATTCACTCTAATAATTTTATTCTATACTATTGTATAGAATGGTCTACTTGTCCTAAATTTTCAAATTCGGAAGTTTACAACTCATTGGTTCAACCACCAATTCGTGTTATCAAACCATATTCACATTCAATGAAACACAAACAGTTTAGTATTCTACGTGTAGGCTTTTACTGTTTAAATAATTTACCAGAAAATAAAATGGTATTTGTTCGTGTATTCGCTTTTTCGATTAAAGGATGGTCTGAACCATGTTATGCTAATCCAAATGGAATAGTTTTATCATCGTGGATAGATAATAAAATCTGTGAATTATATCGAAATACAGTTCAAAGAGAAAACTTATCATTATCCTATACGAAATATGTTGGTTGCACATTAGACGAAGAACTTGATACATTTAAAAATAATCTAAGCAAACAACTCTTTTCATGGACACGTAGTTATCCAATGAACTCAAACACTAGCAGTGGAAGTAGCAATAGTACTATAACAGGTGTTCCAGTCAACACTGTAGAAGAAACAAGTAAACGAACAAAATCACCAATGTTACAAAGAAAGCGTTCCTTCAGATTTCCATTCTCAAATAAAGGTTTAAAATTTGTTAAGCAAACCAAATCTGGAGTTTATCTAGCAGTACTATATCATACTCCAACAACTTCATCAAATATTACCATGGATGATGAGTCAGGAAAATTTAAATATAAATCAAAAATTGTACTTGCAGATGATTACATTCCAATTTTAAGTGTTTCTCGTGAAGATTATACAAATGAGTCAACATTGAATTCAGATTTTAATTGGTTCGCTAGAATTGTTTCTGATTCCTTTTTTGATATGGATTTACAATTTTTATATGAAGATATGCCTAATACATCACTTCCAACAAATCTTCAACTTCGTGTACGACTACTAGAAATGCTACAAAGATTAAAATTATTACTTGGAACATCGAATCTTGGCACTATTTATCCAGAGATAATACGTGTTCGATCAATTGATTCAAGTTTAATAAATTTAAAACAAACTAAGAATGAAAATTCAGATATTCAAGAAATATTATCTACACCTAAAGTATCCACTGAAACAAATGATTCAATTGCTACTTCTACAAGCTATGAAAGTAATCCAAAATCAACATCTTCATTTTTATTCGTTCTAGTAAAGCGAATTAATAATCCGAATGAAATTATTCTTACTGGTAATCTTAGATGGTGTCATTTAGATAAATTTTTACGACAAAATAAAGTTAAACTAAATAATTTTTTTCGAATACATTCTAATGTTGAATTTTCAAATTATAGCATTATGACAAATATGACTAGAAATATTTTATTACCAGCATTATATCCACATCTTTTAACTACACGAGGAAATCAAGTTTTCATATCACCTGAATCTCAGATTATCGCCAATTTGGATATACTATTAGGTTATTCTGAACGACATATGCATATATTAGAACCAGGCTTATATATTGTCCTTGTACAAATGAAAGCGCATATGGATCAACAGGCAGCAATATTAGTTTCTAATACACCTACTACAATACATATGCTTCCAGCTGAAAAGATTCGCTCTAGATCACATGTAAGCAAAGATGAATGGTATAGTCTTTGCAGACTAGTTGAAAGAACTGATGAGAAAAATGAAGAAAATTTTATAAATTTAAAAAATTCAGAAAAACGATTTGTCATTCAGTTAACTAAAGCAACATTGAAGTTAACAAATCGTTTATGCTATGGTATCAATGATATGAAAATGTTTCGTATTTTTCTGCCAGAAATTATAAGAATTTCTCCATTGCATGCATTTATTCTATTACTGCCACCAGTAGATCAAGTTTGTTTACCGCCAACATCGAATTCATTGCCACCACCAACATGTTCATGGATTCCAATGACTTATTTTGAAAGACATTTGGGTATCAGTTATGATCCATTATTTCATAATAAAATTCAACATTTAATTTCACTTTTAGAATTAATAATTCCATTATCTCAATTCGCTCAAAGACAATGTCTTACAGAATCAGATTTATCACAAATATCTGAACGTACTCAATCATTACAGTCTATACAAACAAATTTAGAGAATATGTTTCAAACAAGAAGATGGCTAAGTGAAACAATTTCGATTGCACGTGATCGTAAAAAGGTGTACAACTTTCATATTACTGTAGAACAAATTATTAATGAATATTATGGGATTTTAAAATCTTGTCTAGTTAAATTAAATCTTGATTCATTAACTGATGAGATGATAAACTTTAATACAGTATCACAGAATATTGAATTGAATACATCCAGTATCGATAAAACCAAACAAATCAGGTCTTCATCTGTACACAGTGATTTAGTGGATGTGACTCCATCTTCTGAACGTGTAGATATAAACAATCTACCGTCTTCGCCAACTGAATCAAAACATAAAGTGAACACTTCAGTAATACAGGTTTATGCAGCTTATCCAACAGGATTAAATCCTGGAGTATCAGTTCGATTGTTAATAAATATTCGTACAACAGTCAGAGAGGTGATTGATATTGTTGTAAAACGGTTGTTAGAAACCGCTGAACGAAAGAGCATTAAGGCAAGCGATGACACTGATTCTCTTTCCTTATTACGTTCATTTGATTTCATTCGAACTAATATAGAGAATAATTTGGAAAACCATTTATTCTGTCTAACTGTATCTGTTGGTGAACTTCAGCGTTGTTTACCAAATACTGTACGTTTGTTATTACTAAGAAAACCGTGGAGATATGGAAAATTAACAGTTCGTCTTCTTAATGATCTCTCAGAAGACATTCCACAACGACGACGGCAACAACAGCGACCAGAACCACAGACTGATAATCAAAATACTTCATCGGCTTCTGAGTTTATAAATTCTGGTTTGCATGATCAAAATGTATCTCCTTTATTAACAGTTACTTTCGTTCAACCAAATCTAAAACAGGCCACTATTAGCTCACCTCCAGAAATTCTGCCCTAAACATTTTTAATCTTCCTTTTATCGCTCAAAATAAATTCAAGGTTCGTTTGTATTCAATACTAAAGTCTTATAATTTTCAGTCAGAGGAATAAAACTATTTGCTAATTGAATGTATATTGTATTTATATTAAATTATTGAGTTCCTTTAATATATTGAGAACAAAAAACATAATTGTACCGATTCATTATTCAAACATCACTTTATCCATTAGTCTTTCCTTAATAACATTCTGTTCGACTCTTTTTTTCTAATTTCTTGTCTTTTGTATAGTAGAAGTTTCTTTTTAGTAAAACAAATAAATTTTCAAGGAAGGAAGTTGATAATTCATCACTGGAAATTTCATTGCATTTTATCACCAAAGTGATATAAGGATATGGCATGAGAATATGAAAATATGTGAGTGATAAGAATTTCACTTTTAAATTGCATGATGACTGAAGACGAAGGAAAACCTGGGTAATGGTATGACCTAAACCAGTGAACTCCGTGTGCTCTGGCAGATGGATGATGCATTTTAACTGCTAATCATTTCTCTTTTCCACTTCAGTTACCGAAGTGTCTGCCTGGCTGTCATCGATAAGTAACTGTCCGTATATCATTATCACAATCATACTTTCTTCAGCATGGTATTCTAATCCTGACCCAAATAAAGGTGAACAAGACATGGATAGAGAGGGTTGAGACTACACAAAATGGTTTCAGTTTTGTAAAACTGATTTCGATGCAGTCGATTCATAATTGAAGTTAAAGAAAGTAGTATTTTTATCATTAACAACCTCTTTGTTCCAGCAATTAAATCAATAATGACAATGAATGCTCTAGGAGCTAGACATCAAAAATTAGCATCAACTGAAAGAAAGGAAATTTTAAACCTCACACCTATTAAGTAAATTCACTACTAATGTAAACTACAACCGTAGGAAACTATAAAATTAGTATTACTCTCTTCATCTCTTAAATCACAATGAGCATTATCCACTATAGAATACACAAACCTAACTTTACTCGGAACTTGTATTCAAGAATTCACAATCTCAACGTGTACACCGAAAGTGCCTATTGCGTTTCATTGGAATGTGACAGACAAGTATAAAAAAACAGTGTAAGATCTGGTATAACCATTTAATTGTTTGCTTTTCCCCGACCGATAGCTGCTATCTTGACGTGGTGGTCGGGATTGTATATCATGATGACCCAAGAAGCCACACTAACTGAAATGCTTGTCCCCTCAAGATCCTACCATACTGGATAGTGGTAAGACGAAAAACAGTTGCCGTTGTAGTGTAAATTGCTACACACTAAGATGGGGTTCTAGGGGTGAAGTCGTACTGCTGGTTAGATGGTGTGTAACAGTAGATGACTAAAAGTCCCATGCTGGTGCTGCCTTCTGTATGATGAGAGGGAGTTATAAAAGACCGACTCTAAAGATAGCATACTCGCCTTTACCCTGAAGTATACGGGTGCCGTCTATGTAGGTTTATAGTTGGAGTCAAAACTAATAAGGTTAGACCTCAAACCTCTTAAGAGACTTTATGTAACCGGCCTCAAGCATATTTCCCTTGGGCTTTGCAGTCATACCCTAACCCTTGTTTTTCAGGTATCTCTAGAATAAATAAAGTTCCCTGACATAGGAAGCTGGGAAGCGTTATTTGCCCTCATAGCTTTGTCACCACTGAAGCTGTTTCAGATCACTATCCACCTTCTACAACCTGAATTTCTAATTTTCCTTTATGTTTGCTGATCAACGTCCCTAATTCATCTTTAATTTCTTGCAACTTTCCAGCTCTTGACAATGATGTGAGTTTACGGAACAGCGCCACTTGTCTCCTGAAAACGCACTCTAAGCTACACACTGGAGCTTTCAATATCAGCAACCACCATCGAACTGGATAACAAGCTTTGCTAGCTAGAAATGGGATCTTGGGCCATGAAGGTGTGTTGTGTTTGTGACTCGAGTATATAGGACTCAAGTGCGGTTACTCACTTAACCCCACCTAGGCAATATGGTGAATCCACGAAATTCGTCCTACAAGTTTTTACAAATCCTGTGTCGAGTTCTCGTGGTCTTGCAGGTGTAGGAATAGCATAGAGTACCAAGACAGAAAGTTCTCTGATCGACTGGATCTCAGTTGACAGCCGCCTATGCTCCGTTCAACTGAACGGTACAGTGAGGACAAAAAAATAGTAGAACTCACTGTTGTCTCTTTGTATTGTCTGTTTACCCACCCATTGACTGAAGTTCGGATAAAACGAAGGATGAGTTTTACCGAAAACTGTCTACCCTTTTACTGAAAGCTAAGTGCTCACACGTCGTTGTTGTAGCACGTGATTTCAGTACAAAAGTGGAAAGGCTAGGTCAAGCAGAAAGACATTTAGGTGGAACTTTCAGAATCCCAGCCGAATGAACAGATAACTACAATCGCCTGATTCAAATGTGATCAAACGACCGTTTATTTCTGGCCAGCACGAATGTTAGACATATAGGAAAACACTGTCTGATATGGCATCCACAGACTTTAACTCAGCGGCGGACACACATAAACCATACTGTCATCAGTCATCGCAGCAGAAGGTCTACGGAAGACTACCGCTTTTCCTGAACCACCTGTTTAAACAGTGATCACGCGTTGTTTTGAATATATGTATGTCTGCGTCTAAATGGATCCAGGGAAACTACACCGACAGGATCACTACGAGTGAAGCTTCATGATGAGAATACTACCCTTGTTTTCACTGAGAAACTGTCTAGAAGGATACCGAAACAGAACAGCATCATTCATCCTAAAGAAGCCTGGCGCTATATACATTCTACTTTAAAAACAGCATCAAAGATCGTAGTTGACACTCAGAAAGTGGTTAAAAGGGTTAATTATTCTCAGCAGCTTCCTCTGAGTGAGTGGATATACGTGAGCGTTTCCCTGTAGGCACAATGAAGAGCGTAAGAAACTTCAATATAAACTGACAAATAATCTACTCAATGACCACGAACAGTGGCGGACAGAAAACGCTAAAGAGATGGAAAAGGCAGCGGTGACAGGTTTTAACAGACAGTTATGTAGACTTATCAAGAAAACTAGGGTGAATATGTCAATGGTTAAAATGACTAAGATTGTAAGTCATATTATCATTAAACGTCTGAGCAGAGATTGGGAACAGTAAACCCGAGAAAAACAAACAGGCTCCAGATCTGATCGCGGGTGTATCGACCAGATATTCACATTCTATCAGGTTTTGGAACATAGACATATTTATCGGCACTAGCTGCTTTTCGCAACCTGCAGGCAGCTTTGGACTTTATTCATTGGGAGATCTTATGGTAGTGCCTCTCACTGAAAGGTGTGCCGAATAAGTACATCATTCCTTTGGAGGCTATTTACTCAAACACCCTTGGACTGTTAGAGTCTGTGGTGGGCTATCGGGTAAGTTGTGTGCGTCGAGTGATATCTGTCAAGGATGCTCTTTCCCGCCACTCTTATTAAAATTTATCACAGGTGCACTTATGGAGGTCTGTTTCTCATCATTTGACTTCACAGGGACTGGTCTTGTCACAGGTGAATCTTAGGAAGACCTAAAGTAAGTAGATGACGTATTCCTGTTACATGAAGACGCTGACGGGATGCTAAATATACGGGACAACTTAAGAATGTTTGGGATGCGTTCATCGCCACCCAAATGCAAATCGTTGCTCCAGGACTAGTCTACATCGGTGATTGGTCTGACAATAACGAGTTGAATAATTAAGCGCGTTGATCACTTCACTGAAGCGAAAATCTGGGTCAGCTCTTGTTGATCAGTGACCAACGAAATTTCTGCATGGATACAGAAGGCTCGTCTAGCTTTCACCAAATTACGCTACTTGCCACTGTGATATCCAGTTGTCTATTAAGGGTCGAATGTACTGCTCTGCAGTTTTATCCCTTCTACTATATGTTTGTGTAACATGACTGCTGAAATTACGAAACATGAGAAGGCTTCAGGTGTTTGACCATCACTACCTTCGTAACATAGGCCATATATTACGGTGTCATCGCATCATTAACGTAGAAGTCAAGTGTGCAGTTTTAGGTAGGAAAGGAAAGTCAGTTGATCGGACTATGAAATTTATTCGATAAAGATGGCTAAGATAGGTGTTAACCATGTCTAGTCACCATCTGCCTCGTCGGGCAGTGTTAGCAAAAGTAAGTTTAGTTTGGAAAAGGGGGTGGCCAGACTAAAGCACGCCACCAGTTAGAGAAGTCTCAGACTGTTGGTCCGAGCTGTGTAGAGAAATGCAGACTATCCAGTCGGAGTCCATGTGACAACAGAAACCATCCGTTGGAGACTAGGTGATATGGGTCAGAATCAATATCACCGGCGCAGATGCATTCACACAATATTTTCATCCTATTCGTCATAATGAATTCAGTGTCTTCTCATTCCAACTTCCTCTCTTCTACTACTTTCTACCTTTTTTGATTACTTTCTTTATCTTTTCCCTTGATGTTCCGAGATTTGTGGCAACTTGAACCGTTAAGCAGTAACGTCAGGTCTTAGGTTGGTTGATCGTGTCTGTCTATCTGACTTAACTGTTCAAGCTATCACAATACACACACACCAAAGACAGGGATAAAAGTAAAGAAGTAAGCAGATATAAGGTATCATAAGACAAACAGAAAAATAGATTTATTTATAAATACAAATGTGTCTGCGCCTGATAGAAATATTTGGTGTAGAATTTTCCGACCACTTTTTGTAAAAATCATTGTTCGAACAACCTTTTCCAGTACTTCAAGGAAAAATCCCGAATCATTTTGGAGTAGTATTCTCTGAGCTTTGGCATTTTGTTATAGACGCTTCATCAACAGGCTTGATGATATCTTCAGTGCTAAGTTTCATTTTCAAATGTCCCATGAATATTTTGGCAGTATTTGTTGACCTTCAGAGTTCTTCAACTGCAAATTGGGGGAAGAATTTTCATCACACCTTGACCTCTTTTAACTTGCATTTTACTCAGTTAATTTGAAACAGATTCTTTGCCAGGGTGACATTTATTATAACCAGACGGTTTTATTACCGATACGTTTGATTAATTTGCGTTCCTATGTTCGATGACTGTTTTCTTCTTCTTAAGTAAATCGTAGACCTGTCTTCACGTGTCGGTTGATTGAAGCTTCGTTTGAATTTCAGACTTCTAGGAATTCTGTTGCAGCTTTTGAACCTACCCTCTAAAGAATTTCCATATTCTGCAAGTCGAATTCATGACTCCTATTACCTATGTTCACTAATGCTAACGAATATGAATTATATCGCCTTACTATTTTTTAGTTGGTGCTCGTGAATCTTTAGATGAATCCAGGCTCTAGAATGACAAAAGTACCGTTGTTGATAACATTTGCAACTGACTAAAAATTACATTTACACTGT